ATTTCTGATCGGCATGAAGGTATTGTCAGGGAAATGAATGAGGTGGGCAGTACTTGGGAGGAGCCTTATGTGCATCATAGGCTATGTATCCGCCACCTTGCATCGAATGTGCACACTCATTTCAAAGACATTCATCTAAAAAATCTTTTTGTCTGGACCGCACGGCAACATCAGAAAAATAAGTTTGATGGTGGGTTCAAGAAGATAGGTGAAATGAGTTTGAAGGCACGACAATTTCTGGGGAACATTCCCCCGCAAATGTGGTCATTACGCCACGATGGCAGGTACAGATACGGTACCATCACTTCTAATCTGGCAGAGGTTTTCAATAGCGTGATGAAAAATGCTAGATATTTTCCCATCACCGCTTTGGTCCAGGTTTCCTTTAACCGGATTAATGCTTATTTTGTTACTCCATTTGATTTAGGCCGAGTAAAATGAGAGTGACAGAAGGCCACGAGTACTCCCCATACATCACAGATTTAATTGATAAGAATAGAGAGAAGGCCAAGCATCACATAGTTACTCCATTTGATTTAGGCCGAGGGTTATTTCAAGTGGAAACCGGTTGTGGTGGCCGAACGTTGGGGAAGGGTGGGAGAAAACAAACTATCCAACTGAAACGAAAAACTTGCACTTGTAAAAGGATGGAGATATATAAGATTACATGCTCCCATGTGTTAGCCGTGTGCAGACAACGTAGCTTGTCTTATGCTCCATTTGTGGATAAGTTTTCTCATTTGGCCAATACGCGGCCACATATCATGGAATCTTCAAACCCATTCCTCATCGTGATTATTGGCCTACTTACAATGAACCTGAAATCGTGCACGATCCATCCATGCTTCGGGCTAAGGGAAGACCTAAGTCGACACGTATTAAGAATGATATGGATGAAGGTCCCCGAAGAACGGTTAGATGTGGAAAATGCCACCAAACCGGCCATAATAGGGCCACATGTGCGAAGAGATCATCAAGACACAATGGGGGGTCCAGTGGGTAAGGTGTTAATTATAGTAATTCACAGTTCATCTCAGTGTTGCATGAAAACATATTAATTAATAAAATGGATGATTATAAAAAAGAATTAGTATAATAGTAAAAATCAACTAATACGATTTTGTTTGTTTGTAGGCATGTAGGTGACAGCGGATCCTAGGCCGAGTGATCAAGATGACCATGACAACTTCTACTTTGTCTTTTGTATTGCAGTTTTTCTTGTACAACATTTTAGAATTTTACAACATTTTAGATGTTGTAGGAACAATTTACAACATTTTACGTATTTTCTCTTGTATGTTGTATTTATGTGTTCGAGTATGAATATTAGATGATTAGTTGTTATGAATGTTTGATGATTGTATTGTGTTTTACTGGTGTGTTGTATGTGTTTATGTATGTGTTTGTGAACATGTGTGTTGTATGTTTTATAATGTGTTGTATCTGACTCGTAACACTTAAACAGAAGAAGGGAGGCCTTATTTATAGCAAAAAGATGAGTCTGGGTTGAACTGGGGCAAAAAAATGATGAAATTCTGTTTTCGGAATTAGGCACGATCGTGCCTACCCGTGCAGGCACGATCGTGCGTGGCTGGCAGTAGCTGTTGGTTTGCGTTCATATGGAAGGGGAAAGTCGCCCAACGGTTGGACGACTTATAAGTCGCCAAACCGTTTGGCGACTTATAAGTCGTCCAACCGTTGGGCGACTTTCCCTGACCATGATTAAACCCAGCAGTAGATCAGTAAATATTTTTTTCCAGCATTATTTTCGTAATTAATTAATTAATTAACATTAATTCGGAAAAAAACTCAACTTTTAGATGTATCACTTCTTCTTCACTACTCCTATTAAGAAATGCAAATTTGTTTTTTAACACTTGATGGACTTGATTGATTCAAATGGATGAAAACCCGATTGATTTTTTAACAATAGTAAGAGATCAATTTGAAGAGTTTTTTCTCGGGATAATGCCAATTAAATAAATAATTCCCAAAATATTGTTGGGTTTAAAATAATTTCCAAAATACTGTCGGGTTAACCGTGGTTAAAAAAAGCCGCCACTTGAAGTGACGGCTCTTGTCTTATAGTACTAAAAGCCTCCACTCCAAGTGGCGGCTTTTCTCTTACGGCCCATTTTATACATATATAAAACGCAGTATGTTTCAAGAATTTGTTTAACTGCCTTCCCGATTGAATTTTGAGCTGAAATTTGGTATGCATAAACTAGACTTGATGAGGAACATACTCAAACAATTTAATCAAAAAAATCCACTTGAAACACCCTCTGATGGTGTTGTCCGCGGGGGTTCCGGTCAGGACGTCATGACAAAAGGGTGGTCCGGTCACCTACATTTGAGGTGGTCCCCGGTGGGATGTTTTGCTGAATTTTTATGTGTATGTTATTCATCAAATGTAGTTAATCCTTACCAAATTTCAGAACTAATTTCAATCGGGAAAGCAGTCAAATGATTTTTTTAAAGATAACTGCGTTTTATATGTATAATCCGGTGTAGTTATCTTTCAAAAATCATTTGACGGCCTTTCGGATTGAATGTTTTACTCAAATTTGGTATGGATGAACAAGACTTTATGAAGAACATACACAAAAATTTTAATCAAAACATACCACCGGGAACCACCTCAAATTGAGGTGGCCGAACCACCCTTTTGTCATGACGCCCTGACCAGAACCCCCGCGGACAACATCATCAGATCGTGTTTCCGGTGGAATTTTTTGATGAATTTTTTTGAACATGTTCCTCATCAAGTCTAGTTTATACATACCAAAGTTCAGCTCAAAATTCAATCGGGAAGGCAGTTAAACAAATTTTGAAACATACTGCGTTTTATATATGTACAAAATGAGCCGTAAGAGAAGAGCCGCCACTTGGAGTGGCGGCTTTTGTACTACTCCGTATAAGAGAAGAGTTGCCACTTCAAGTGACGACTTTTCTTAATCACAGTTAACTCAGCAGTATTTTGGGAATTATTTTAAACCCAACCGTATTTTAGGAATTATTTATTTAATTAGCATTATTCTTTTTTGCAAGAATTTCAATCTGATCAAACATAGTCCTGGGTAATGAAGGAATATTCATTAGGTTGGACCCACCGAGTTTTGAAGTCGTCTCTTCTGTCGTGGCCGTGCTCGCTTTGGTCTTCTTTCTTCACTCGTAGAAGCTGTCACTTTGACTCACTTTAATGCAGCGGTGAGGTCCACCCACCTTCATCAATTGCCGATGGCTGGACCAGAAAACTGTTTTTTTAGTAATTTTGTTTTCCCTTATTTTTTGCTGAACGAAAAATAAATTGACCCTTAAAAATAGAGCGACCCCTCAATAAATTGTCTTAAAAATGAATTGACCCTTCAATAAAAACCCCATCCGTCAAATTAATTATGGTCATCAATGAAATGCAGGGGAAAAAATTCTTTAGATCCTTTATTTTAATGCATAAATAAATAAAAAGTCAAAGGGAAAAAGGGGCAAAACTCATTCTAACAGACCTTATCCTGTTTTTGGACTTTGTATATATAACAGGATAAGGTAACCCTCATCTAAATCATCTTTCCTTCCACCCAGGCCTTGAGGGTCCGTTTGGTACCCAAACAATAACAACCAAATCATATTTAGAGGAAACAAGGATTCAAAATCAATACATCTATATTTTAGAAATTTGTTCAAAACCAGTCTATTTTTATATTTTCTTTTACTCAGTATATATATATATTTTAATCACTAATGTAGTCAAGAGTGGAAACACATGTAAAAAGAAACTTAAAATTAGGGTGTTTTATTTTATTTTGTATTTTCAAAATAACAACAAAAACTATTTTCATTAATTCGTATTACTTGTTCCCCTTTACCTTTTATTTCAGGCTACCAAACAAGACTACAGATAATTCTTTGTGTTCCCATTTTACCTTTTATTTCAGGCTAACCTGAACTTCTTCACTACTTATCAAGAAGAAAGAATGCCCTTTTGTAGATTCTTGCACTCCCAAGTCCTAACCAAGTACCAACAATTCAAGGTTTTCTATATTAGTTGGTACCCATTCATAGTAGTGGAGAGTCTGAGACACAATTAGACATACTTTATTGGGATAAAAACAATTAGGCCCCATTTGGTATCATTCACTGTGACACTATCTTCATCAGAAAAACACTTAGTTGAAATCAAATAACTCTTATCAAACGATACAGAAAAAAATGGAATGTTTATCATAACAACAATTCAAGTATCCACAATCACTCATTTGTCGAACGTAAAAGAATTGACTCAAGTTAGAAAAATTGTGGCTAGCTTATATGATTCAACAACATCCAAACTTATATGATAGCGCGAAAGTTCGAAACAAATAACCATAAAATTGTACTCCGTAGTAGTATTTAATTAGATATCTATTTTCACATACAAAATCATGTTCTAATACAAATAGTTCTTCTCATGATCTAAGCTTTGATTTCTTAAAAATGGATGGTATACATCAAAACATCTAAAAAAATATCAGGAACGAATTTTATACTTGTTATGTTTTTCAAGAAAAGTAATATACTTTTTTGTTAGTCTAATGCACTTTTACTCCGTAGTGATGCACATTTGTCACGTTATTTTTCAAAAAAAAATAATAATTACACTTTTGACACCAAATTTTTCCCTTAAAAATTGATGTGATCCACTCATTTTCTCATTTTAATTATTTCTTGGGCTAAGAATATAGGTAGGGCTACCCAAGTGGGTTGCCACTTTTGTTGGCAATAACTTCCACCTTTCACAAAGACAGCAATAGAGTCGAGATTCCTTGCCCATTCCTCCACTCTTCCTTCCATTAGACCCATTACTCATCCCCACCTGAAAGCAACCCCTTTTCCTCTCCTCCTTACTGTTCACTCATATGAAATCAAAGAACTCCCAATGTGTACTTACGCAAATAGCAAAGAAATGATTCAGCAGTCAATCATAAAACTCGATCAAATCCAGCGCAATGAAAACACCATCCTAACCAACAAAATCACCAACAAGTATTTTATTTATACTTGATGCAATTTTTTAATTATTTTTCAAGTTGTTCATAACAGATACAGCACATAATACTACTTCATATCTATGAGATTTATAGCTATGAATCTTACATCAAGACTCAGTTGAAGAAGAACTGATACATTCTTAATTATAGCAGAAGATTGATGGAAACAAAAAAAAAATAACTCACTTAAGAATTAGAATGAGCAGAATCTGAGACTCTAGGAGAGGTGAGTGGGAACAGTGGTAAGAGTCGGGGCTCTGAATCTTTCGGAGTGCTCGCCGGAGACGGATGCAAGTAGAATCCTTTTTTGGCTATTGCCTTATCTTCAGCCTCCATGTTCAGAGTGGGGGGTCTGTTAAACGGGTCGGGTATCAGTGGAGTGACCGGGCTAAGCACCAACGACGGGAAATCGAGCATGCTCGGCGACAATAAATCCGGCGTTCCTGGTCGGGGGGAACCGCATAACCCGAACCCGCCCGGACCCAACGGGTTGATTTTGAAATTCTTCAGGCTGTTTCTCCGCTCGTATAGCCTTGACCCGGACTTTTCCTTCTTCGTGCCGGTCTTGACGGGCGGGATCGGGTTTCTGGAAGGTTCGGGCCGGGTGGATGCGGTGGCGAGCTTGGCCGTCTCGGAGGATCCGGTGAGCATTTGGACTACTTGCTTGAAAGAGGAAGCGTCGGCTTGGACGAAGGTGGTTGGGAACGGATTATTGGGTTCGGATCTGGTGACTGGCAGTACAGGCGGGCGCTGGGATTGCACCGGCGGCGGCGGGAGGCCATTGCTGTGGGTGGTGCTACTGCTGCTGCTGCTTGAGCTGTTAGTTCTAAGGCTGTCAGGGGAAGAAGACATTAGAGGCGGATTGTGAATTTCGCGAGGCTTTAAAGATGTTTCCATTGATGGGTGTGATTCGGGAGAGAAAACCGGGCGGAGGATTTGCCGCCGGGAAAAAGAAAGTGGAAAGTGGGGAAGAGTGGAGGATGATGAAATGTTAAGGGAGAGTTTAGCATTTTTTCCTTGGCATCACTATTGAGTCGAAATGTTTTGTTGGGGAACTTTAGTTGTTCACGCGTAACCTTGCGCGTGGAATTACAGCGTCAGTGTGATTTTGACCAGTTGCTAATGGCGGCTATTAGGTGGAAAAATGTAGGGTTCGGCACGGTATATCAAAATTTCAACGCCATACCGCATACTGTATCGAAAATTCGGTATTGGTAAATGTCATACCGTTACCATACCGAAACTTTCGGTATACCGAATTTCGGTATACCAAAAATTCGGTACAGTATGTAACACATACCGTTTTATACCGAAAATTCAAAAAAAAAAAAATCTTGGCAATTCCGTATAAAGTATTAGCTTAAGGGGCCTACCGAACATCCAAAAAAACTGATTTTAACAAGTCAAAAGTAGCATACGACATCAATACATAAACCGATACCAAAACTAAAACACAATATTTAATCCAAAGTAGAAAATACTAAAATTATGTGCTAATATCTCAAGTCTCAACACAATCCATAATGAAAATTAGAATATTTATCCAACATAAATCATTGATAACTAATGTTTGTAATAACAAATCTTTGAATCATTGTTGCAGCTCCGTATAAATAAGAGATTTTTCTACTTTGGTAATATGATGGTCGTCCGCCGTATAAATATTTTATCAATATACTTTATCATTTTTTTATAAATATAGAATGAGCATAGACCAGATTGTTCATATTACCAGGATGGTTAAGTTTTAGCAAATAATGACGGTCGTCCGCTACCCCGTGCTTCGTCAATGGCGTCTTCGTCACTCGTCCGCATCTCCATCGTCAATGCTCAATAGTCCACAGCTCTGTCACTCGTTGAAGAGAAGAGAAGCTGCTTGACTCTACGTTGATTTATTTGGGGAGAATTTGACTTTGCACCCCATGTTTTGGGTGATATTTGAGTTTGCACCCTATTTTCAAAATCATTAATGTATGCACCCCAATTCACAATAAAATTATTTGACTTTGCACCCCACTCCTTCACAATTTTTGGGCTAATAGGGTGCATACATTAATGATTTTTAAAATGGGATGCAAAGTCAAATATCACCCAAAACAAGGGGTGCAAACTCAAATTCTCCCATTTATTTGATTAGGGATTTTGGCCTCTACTTGGGAGAACTAGAGAAGGGCCGTAGTATTATAAGATGGGTTATTTTAATTTTGGGCCTTGGTATTTTAATAATTTCATTTAATGGGTTTGGCCCTAAAAATTTACAAATTCTATTTCGGTATATCGGTATTTCGGTATATACCGTACCATACCAAAAATTAACCGTACCGAAGTGACCCGGTATGGTATCATACCGTACCGAACTTTTCGGTATACCGAAAATTTCGGTAAATTTGGTATTTTTTGGTATGGTATGGCCGGTATACCGAAATTTCGGTATATTTTCCCACCCCTAGAAAAATGTCCATTTCATGGCATGTACTATCTGTACTATCGTATGTAATAGGGGTGGGCATGGTCGGTTAACCGGGTTTTGGTTAACCAACTTTCGGTTAATCGAGAAATCGGTTACTATTTTTTAACCGAGTATCGGTTAACCATCACTTCGGTTAACCATAACTTCAGTTAACCGCTTTGCGGTTAAATAAAAACCATAAAACCACAAAATATTAACAGTAAAATCAAATATGAATAGAAACTTTCCAAAAAATGCAGGAATTAAAATAATACACCACGTATATAGTTATAATACTGCGAACTTAACAAGATGCTATAATACAAACTCCAACAAACTATATTTATAATACTACAAACTATAATAATGACGTATCTAAAATCTAAAATACTGTCATTTCTCTAAAACTTTATCCATATTTATGTATCAATTACATTTATCTAAACTTTATAGTTTATTCATAGTCAAGTCAATGTCTATTCTACTATAAATATAATTCAATAAGTTGACAGAGTCACATATATTACAAACTCCAGCAAATATAAACTCCGTTATATTTGTGTACGACTTAAGCTAGATTAATAAGATTATTATTTGACTTTCTATTTAATACTCCGGTATCAAAGTTATTTGAGAATTGATGAAGTTCTAATCTTATTAATTATTACAGAATAAAAAGTAGGCGAGTTGTTTCATATGTATCTAGGATTCCAGCCTTCCAGGTATTGTTTTTTGAAATATACGACCAACGACCTTAAATTAGCTTACTGGTTACATACGAAGCATGTATTATTTGAAATACCGGTTAGCGGTTAACCGGCCATATCTTATTTTCAAAACCATAACCGTACCGTGTACCGTTTTTTTTTGCGGTTGGTTAACCGTACCATGATTTAATTAAAGTCGGTACGGTTAACCGAAAAAAATAACGGTTTTCCGGTTTTTCGGTATGGTTAAACGGTTACGGGCTTTTGTGCCCACCCCTAGTATGTATGTATACAGAGCAACCCACGGTGAACATGTTGCTACCACATCCAAAAAAACGTGTGTTACTAATAACTTCTTTTTTGTTTTTTTAATGTTGTGTTTAAAAACGTGATGTAACTTGCGTGTAAAGAAATGTAACTCACGATAATAAGAAGTGTAACTGCAGGCAAGTTGAAATGTAACTTTTCTAATACGGACTATAATAAATAAAACATTGATTTCCTTGAAAACAAGGAGTCTAATTGCTCAATTATTTTATGTAAATAGTGAATATGTTTTTTTTAATATTAAGAAATAATTACATAAATATGACCAAAATAAAGATGATTTACAAAAATATGACTAATGACTAGAGTAGTTAATGAAATCACAGTAATTCATGTTTAAGTTTTGAGCTTAAGTTACCACATGATGGATAAGCGTACCCGGGGGTATCTATCTGAGGGGTTATTGCGAGGAATAGCTAGAGAGAAGTCAGAGCAAGTAAGAGAGATAAAATGTATTGAATATGTAAGTTGAGGCTCTTTTGAGCGTGGTTTACAATGGGGAAATGGGGTGCTATTTATAGTAGCAATAAATGCCAGACAGGGACACGTGTGAAGCATCCATTGGCCGAGGGGTCACCTCAACTAGTTGGCGCTGGCAATCGCATGTGGCCGCATTTAATGCGGTTGTTGGATGTGACGTCGTACTTGGTACGGTGATCCCTGAGCATGTGGAGCGGATATTATGTCGGATTTGGTGCCCCTGGCTGTAGATGATTAGCTGAGGGCTCTGAGTACCGGGGACCTCCTTAGTGTCGAGGGCTCCAAGTGCCGAGGGCTACTGATTTTCGCCGTTTTCTCCCAATAACTTTGTTTTCTTGATCTAGCCATCCTGTGAGAATTGGAGCCTTCGGCCAGGGGGGCGAAGGCACCCCTAGTGCGCCACGTGGGTTGCTTAGTACTTGGAGCGCCGTGATTTGGGCCTGCTATGCTTCCTGGGCCTATTGGGCCTCCATTAGAATAGTAGGAGTCTATGGGCCGGGGGTTCCCGGGCCATATACTCCATCAGGAGTCCCTCACTCCTTTTGCTGAAAGGTACTTGAGGGAAAATGAGTAATCTGTGTTTGCCCTTTTGATGTTGTTCCGTTGTACTCTGTAGAGTTTGTGGGTAGTTTGCTGTTTGTTTATTCTGCCGAGGGCAGTCCCTCAGTTACCCACATGTCGGGACTTCAGGGGGTCATGTTTGCTATTTGCGGGAGTTTTTAGCATTTTGCACTTTTTGTGATTTTTCATGAGGGGGTTCTCCAGTCCCCCACTCCTTGAGGCACTTGCAAAGTGGTGAAAAGGAGTAGAGTAATCATGTTGCTCTATTGGGCCGAAGGCTGACGCTTTTCGTTTCATTTTGGGGGGGATGCCTCGTTAAAAACCTCAATAGGAAAAACCCCATGGGAAAAAATCCTAATGAGGGAAAAAGAGTGCACCGAATTCCCCGAACGATGAATCGAAAATGTGAAGCCCTGGTTTGAAATGGAGTACAATGCTGATGCCGAAGGCTATCCCTGTTCTGAGGGCGCGTGTGACGATTAGCCGGAGGCTTGCTGTTGATATCCTTGGAGGTGCCGAAGGGGAGTCCCTCAATCCGGGGATCGAGGGCGTGATGAATGTGAGTAGTATTTGGAGTGTTACCGGGGGGTCCCCTGTTTGTTGATCAGTTGGTGAGGAGGGTATCCGTCAATGAGGTGTACTCTACGGGGGCTACCTGGTCCTCAAAGTGTTGAGGGGGGGAATTCCCGAGGGGTGTGCTCGTTATGAAGTCGTGAGCTTCTGAAGGAGCAAAACCCGAAGGCCTTTGTTATATAGTATGAGGGGCATAAACCGGGAGCATCTCTGGGTAAGTGTATACCCAGGGGCTCCTCTTGACGAAGTGGAGTGGAGTAAAAAGACCGGGGGCTAGTTTCCTGGTTGATGAAAGAGTGTTCTGCTGAATATAACCGGGAGCTCCCAGAATATAGCCGTTGTAAATATAGCCGTTGGAATACCTAACGTCAAAAATATAGCCGTTGGGGGGGGGGGGGGGGCTTCCACGTGGTGTGTGCTCGTTGGCCGCCTGTGGGCGGGCGTCACCGATTGGGCAACTCGTCAGTTGGCAATGATGATTTCGTACTGGAGGCCCGGTTTTCAGGCCCAAGCCCGGATTTGGGCGCCTATAAATACCCCAAGGCCAGGCCACTTTTCTTTGTGCGATTTCATTGTAGCGAAGCTCTGCTGGATTTTTTCTAGAGAGAGAAACACTTGCCCTCGATCTAATTCCCGTTCCAAGGTCAGTTCCCACCTACTCTTCTCCTCTCTTAGTTAGCTGTGCCATGTGTCCTTAGATTAGGAGTTAGAATTCCGTAGGTAACCCTCGGTGTAGAGTACCGTCCTTGTAGCTGTACCAAGATGTCGTCCCAGAGTGATTCTCAGGACATCTCGAGGGACCCTTCGGTTGAGGATGAAACCATCTCCGATGTGGAGTCCTCCAGTGAGCAACCTTCGGTGGGGCATGATGCTGATGTGGCGATGGAGTTGCAGAGAGTCCTCGTCGTTGAGGTGGAAGCCGAGGGCTTCGAACAAGAGTGCGAGGATGAGGAGTTGGCCCTCGCCTGGCAAGCGGCTGAAGAAGAGGCACAAAGAGAGAGAGCGCGAGGGTTACCGTCGTTGTTCTCCCCCCTCGCGACGCTGGTGAGGCCAGCACATCTCGGCCACTGAACGCAGTCCCTCTGCGGGTGGCCCCCGGGAAAAAGAAGACGAAGGGCGCCGCTTCAAAGAAGAAAGGTAGTGTTGCCGACCAGGGGAAGCCTGTTGACATGCCCGAGGGGTATTCCCACTTGAATACCGCCACCCTTGACATACGGTCGAAAGCTGATGGTGCGGACTTCTAAGTTACTCAGCTCCATGTGGGGCCCTCGGCGATGGTAGTGCCACCGGGAGCTGATGACATCCTCTCCCAGGCTCCCGAGGGGTGTATAGCCGTCCATATCTTGTCGGTGTCTATGGGCCTCTGATTTGTTAGGTAATTGATGTAACGTACCTCGAAAGTACAGCAGCGGAAGTTTAAAATTTTCCCAAACAGATCTTCCCTGATTATGACAAAACAACGAATAAAACAATAATAACATATCTGAGTCAGAACTTACAGATCTTCCAGCCTAGCGGTGATAATCCTTGACCTTTGGTATCCACGTGATTTCTCGTTTCCTACAGTACGGTTAGATCTCCCTAAGAGAAAGGCTAGGAAATCTCTTCGCAGGGAAATAAACTGGTAATACTGAATCTAAAAAACGGGTCTATTAATTATGAAGGAGGAGGGTGTATTTATACTAGTTCTAAACTAGTTTCCTAATCATAATCAAAGTCTTATTCATTAATGAGTTCTAATCTAATTAGGACTAATCTCATTTATTTAATCAAATAAATAAATAAAATAAAGTAATCAATAATATGGGGGGAAGTGGTCTCCACGCCACTTTCCACCCTTACTATATTATTTATTTTATTTCATTTATTAATTAAATAATATAAATAATAAATAATAATAATAATAATAATAATAAAATCAAAATAAGAGTAAGGCTAGGGAGTGGCTTTAGCCGCTACCCTACCTTTACTCTATATATATTATTATTATATTATTTATTGTTATTTTGATTTTTCTTTTAATCTAATTCCAAAATGTATTAAAAGAAAATATCAACCTTATTTAATTATAAATACACTTTAATTAAGTATAATAAATCTAATTTATTTTACTTAATTAATTCTATCAAATAGAACTCTCCTTCAACTTCATGAATTAAATATATTTAATCTAATTATATTTAATCCATTTTCAGTATTACGAATTAAATATAATTTAATCCAATTAATATTTAATTCCTTTTAACAGTTCAACCGGAAGGTATAATCACTTGTTGTGTGACCCATAGGGCCTTATATATTAAGCACTAATCAAATTAAGGTCTTAGTAGAATCCCTAGACGATTTACCAGACAAACTTAATATATAAGGACGTTTGCGAGGACTATTCAAACTCCCTGTAATATAGAGCTCATAGCGATACGATCCTTTCATTCAGCGAACATTCAACTAAGTCTAGAACTTGATATTGTGTCTATTCCAATAACTTAGTCTCTATCTCTCAATCTTTCTAGATGATCCATAATTATCATATTCGATATCCAAAACGAATATATCTTTGCATTGGCCAATGACTTTATGATCCATCTAGATATGAGAAGTAGAATGTTCTCTCTTAATCTATTATGAGGAATGAATTCTTTCTTGGCTCAACTACTACTTCATGTGCTTCGTGATGCATCCAACACATGCCGTATCTACCCCGATTGGAGTGCAAGCATTGGTCATGGTCAAAGTACATCACTCCGCACATGTAGTACATATTGACCTCAAGTCAGAGGACTATTACACTACTCTATACGCCGATAATCCCATAGACACATGAATAGAACTTATCAAATGGTTTCTCGGTGGGCATGCCAATATTCTCTAAAATACCTATGTGACCATCATGAATTACAGTAACTCATAGTTGTGAGATCAACTATACTTTCTAAAAGTATGATGCAGTCCATATACCAATCTTATCGCATATCATCAATATCCCATTCTTGATGATCATTGATTGGGGCTATTTTAGGACCTTATGTGTTATCATATAAGCTCTCACTTACTTATTGACAACATAAGTCCAAGGGAACACTATTATGAATAAGATATTGACAATCGAAATACTTAATCATCAATGTGTAATACCGTATATATCAAATATATAAAACTGAATGTGATCGAGTATATATGTCTCTAAAAGGTGATTGTCGCTAGGACATATACACTAACATGATTCCCCCTGCACCCCTTTCTGCGTGAGTACCTTCGGTACGTAGGACTGCTCCCTTGCCAGCTCACGCCGAATAGCCATTCGTACCTTGCGGGCTTCCTCCACCTCTGCAAGTCTCGGGGGTAACGCCTAGCCTGGACCTATTCTTCCAGAGCTTCAACCTGTGTCGGGGGGGGGGGGGGGCATGCGAACGCCGAGGGCTTCACTAATTTGCAGCAGGAAACATTGTTCAAGCTGTTCACTGAAGCCCCTTCCTCCAACAAAGGATGGAAAGACCGATGGTGCTATGTGAAGCTGGCCGATAGCCCATTCCCGAGGGAGTTGCGCGACCGGTTCAGGCGCCATGAAAAGAGGAGGAGCGCCGCCCTCGAGAAAGATGGCAGGATCCTGGCTAAGATCCCGGAGGGTCGGAACAAGAACATCACTGTTGGATAATTGATACCCATATCGTATGAAAAGGAGAGATTGAACAGGAAAGAAGGAGAAGAAGAAGTATTGTGTATGAATATTCGTTATGGTTTACAAGCCTCCTATAAGGAGTATATATAGGGAAAATCCGGGTCTGGGCCTGTAATATGGGCCTGACAGACCCGGTTACATAAATGGACTGATAGTATAAAAAGCTAATCTAGAACATCTTAATAATAATAATGTACAATAATATGAATCCGCTAAACGTGCGTGGGCCGCTGTCCAGGCCCCGTAGTCGGCAGACCGGGGGGTCGGAGTCCATATATTCCATCAGGAGTCCCCCACTCCCTGAGTCGAGAGTACTCGAGGCGAAAGGGAGTAGTCCAAACTGTATCTGCAACGTTCTTCTGTCTCTGATTCCTTCCTCTCCGGCCGGGGACCACCACCCTTGTCCATGATGGGGAGGTGCCTCGTTAAAAACCTTTACTAGGAAAAAACCCAGTGGGAAAAAATCTTAATAAAGGGAAAAAGAGTACACCTAACGCCCCCAACATGAAACAAGGAAGGTGGGCCCCCTCCAGCATAATCACTTTTGTGTAGCTCAACATGTCTTCATCTGACTTAGCTCTCGTTCCTGCTCATGTGCGATATCTGCTGCTCATCCAGAAAATCTGACCTCTCAAAAACCCAGTCCCCCACTCCTTGAGGCGAGTGGAGACGAGGTTAAAAATGAGTAAAGTCATTTTCGTACCTACACATTTAAAATGCATAAAAAATTTTTCCTTGGGGTTTATGTTTCCGATCGGGAGTTCGTCACTTGAAAAAAGTGGAAATGTGAATTGTCGATGTAATGATAAAATACTTAGTAGAGTGGATGCATGAGCCATTCGTACGCAACGGTCGCCATTCTTGGAATGACTAAGACCGGTCTTCATGCCCGACTTGGTCGGGGCTTTGTGCCTGACTTGGTCAGGGCTTTGTGCCTGCTCTGGGTCAGGGCTTTAAATCCTATTGATGGGTCTCAAGCCACAGTCTACAAGTCATTTTATCATAATTATGTGATAGTTTGACATTCACCCGAAAAAACAAATTATTTAGATAAGTATAAATAATATGAATTGCACGGAGCTAGTTTTGGAATACTTAGCTTCTATTTGGGCAGGAAATAAGGACCGTGAGAGCTGTTGGAGAAATTGAATACTTGGCTCCTCATGAAGGAGGCCCACCAATAATTTTGACATAGGCTCAAGATAAGCTTGGAGAAATTGAATATTTGGCTCCTTGTGGAGGAGGCCCACCAATAATTTTGACATAGGCTCAAGATAAGTTGTCGATGCCTGACCAGCCTCCTGTCTAAGGGTCAGACTCCTGGCGAAGCTCCTGCCAGCTTTCCTGTTCGGCAAATGGATCTTGCCCGTGACCAAGACCCAAGTAGCGAAGAACACCACGTGGAAGGGGGGTAGCAGCTAGTGAAGAACACCACACCTGGGGGTTTTCTGTGAAGACGCTCATGAGTTTCAAGTTCGACCGCACTTAGTGGAGCCACACCAGCAGATACCAGTTTCCGGCGATGGAGGAAAGGCCTTCGGCTGCTGGTTCCGTCGGATAAGCTCTTGGAAAATGAAGGAGGAGCCTTCCGCCGGAGTTGCCGGACGAGAATCATAGACTGGTCGCTATTTCCGGCGAGTGAGGTAACAACCTCGAAGATACCTCCCGCGACGGAGCTCAGGAGTCAATTGTCGTAGCGCCGATCTGAACTCCGCTGCTGGTCGCCGGGTTGGTCTGGATCTAGACGGAGAAACTGCAGGTTCGTATTTTTCGTTAGGCTTGGGGCAACGTGTCACGCCCCGGACCGCATCCGAGCCACGTAGACAACCGCCGTACAACCCGATAAGAACAACGACAGTTCATCCCTATTGAGTTGTACAAGGCGTCCGATTGATTCTATTGCCAAACCGATTAGTAAACACATACAATCAACATCAATATCATAATCAAACAAATGCGGAATAATAAAATGTTTGATACTTAGCCACACGAGGCAAACACGGGCACGCAGGCCCCCACTGTTTTAATGAAAATATTGTTCAAAAATACATGAGCGGTTTATACATTTGAAATAAGAATGGAAGCACGAACCACGTCTTCCTTCTCGATCAGTCACCCTAGGCAAAGGTGCAGGTAGTAGGACTCTAGCCTCAACCTGAAAAATGTGAGGGCCCCCGGAGGGGTCAGTACTCCATAGAAGTACTAGTGACAAGCAGGCTATATGAAGAATAACTAATGTTTCAGACACGAGACCCAAAAATAGGGTGATATATACATATAGATATCCCTCATCCACCCGATGATACATACTGTATATATACTCGTAAAATACTCAACCCGTAGGTCATTTACTTTAAAGAGTCTTTTAGAGATAAAGTTCTTACCTGACTTTTCTCACTCCTTCCCCGGTTATCTAGCTCACAAGCTATAGTCTAACTTTGATTCATACTACCGAGTGTTTTAGGATCATTTACCGTCCAAGGCACTCAACCCATCCTGGAGTATTTAAGATCATTTACCGTCCAAGGGTACTCGGCCCCACCTGGAGTATTCTGGATCATTTACCGTCCAAGGGTACTCGACCCCACCTGGAGTATTCTGGATCATTTACCGTCCAAGGGTACTCGACCCCACCTGGAGTATTCTGGATCATTTACCGTCCAAGGGTACTCGACCCCACCTGGAGTATTCTGGATCATTTACCGTCCAAGGGCACTCAATCCCCAGTCTATTCTCTACCAAATCCTAACCTGGATATGGCTAACCTTTCATTCTTTTAACTATGGACAATTCCTAGCCCTATAGTCATATAACAATCCTTAGGATCCAACGTGGGCGGGTCCCACCCGAACGACCCACATTAACCCGCTCAAAACTGCCCGTTTTGAGCATAACCCAATACTCGATCGAGTATTAACCCATACTCGGTCGAGTACAGGAGACAGTAGTCCACAAAGCTGATTTTCAACAAATACCCGGTCGGGTATGTGTCAATACCCGATCGGGTATGCCAGTTGACTTGGCGGTCAACGCCCCTTTTGACCCCCCAAACGGAGTCCGATTAACTTGAAATTTTATACACATATACTTCTGGATGTCCTTGATCCAAAAATACCATTTTGGATCCCTGGATCATCACACAAAATATGTTATCACATTTTTAATCACCAAACCTACATAACATGCTTTTTAACTATGTTTTGTGTATAATCATAGCATAAACACACACTTGGTTATCTTTAATCATCCCAAAAAACATATTCCTGATTACTTTAGGTAATCTCATGCCTCACGCAAAAGTTATAAAGCATAAAGCCGTCTTCTCACCTTAATGAAGCTTATGAAGTTCTAGCCTCCCCGATTTAGCTCCGACGAAACTCCGGCGAACTTCAACGAACTCCGGCGACAACTCCGGCGACCTTTTTAACTCCGTGAAAGTTCCTCGAATACCTTAGACAAGTTACTAACAAGGTTTTATCATCATAAAACCCATAGTAATACAAATAACCTCCAAAAGGTTATTTTCCGGCGAACCGGTCACTTTGGCTTCTAAGTCCGTTCTTGGGCTTAGAACCACCTTCCAACCCCTCTTTCTACACATCTAAAAGTGTAGAACAATACTAGGGGTCCTTCATGTGATATATTGGTCATATGGTTTATAAGAAGTTAAGGAAAAGTTGTTACAAGGTTATTACCTTGATTCTTCACACTTTCCCTAGCTTTTCCTTTCTTTAATCCTCCTTGGACTTCCTTTTCTTCCTTCTTGAGCTTGGTTCGAATGGAAATGGGGAAAATGAATATTTGCAGAGCTTCTCTCTCAATATTGATTAGGTTGGTCGGACATATGGGCTAAGGGGGGAGGGATATGGCTCTATTTTGGCTTATACCTCAATGATAGCCAAAATATGGCCCTACCTTGTCCTTTTTGATGTCAAAACCCCCAAGTCAGCCCTTCCCTGCAAAAACCCTGCCCATTTGGACGCCCAAACCCATGCCTTGTCTCATATAATTTCGTGGGGTGGCCCCCACTCATGTGGGAGGTCATCCCTTTAAATCCCGACGTGTACAATCGGTCCCGAAAGTTGTGTTTTCCGGATTGTTTTAAGTATATTTTATTTTATCGGGTCAAATAAAATATAACACTTGTTCCCAATCCTCATTGGACCTTAGAATCAATATGCATTCCCCAACTTTAATTTAGAAGTCTCCGGGATCCCTTTTTGGGCTGTTATCCGATAATTTGCCGATACCGATAATCTGGCCCCATTTGACCAACCGGTCATCTCTATGCCATTACCAGTCCCAATTTGGATATCCATCACCATATACATATTATCTAGTCCAAGATTAATATAATATGTGGTCCCGATAATATCGGGCGGCCCCACATCCGGTGTGGGCCCCACGTGAATTTTACTATTCACGTAATAGAAACGATAAAAAATTTACAATCACGTAAAAATGCTTTTATACATTTCTCAAGGTTCAATACATAATTTGGTACAGTACAAATACTCGGGGGCGGTGTTACACAACGACAGTGCTGGACTTCAGCGGGTGCAGCGGCAGATGGCATATGGGGTGAAGCGACTAACCCGGCCTCCGGCGATCTCCTCGGCGGCAACATCTTCTGCCCTAGATCTGGATTTTCCAGATTGATTTTTTTACTTCTTGTATATCTTTGGATATTTTTGGTTATTTTGGGGAGGTTTTCTCACTTGATTGTATTCAAACCTCTCAACGAGAGCACCATTGTTGGATAATTGATACCCATATCGTATGAAAAGGAGAGATTGAACAGGAAAGAAGGAGAAGAAGTAGTATTGTGTATGAATATTTGTTATGGTTTACAAGCCTCCTATAAGGAGTATATATAGGGAAAATCCGGGTCTGGGCCTGTAATATGGGCCTTACAGACCCGGTTACATAAATGGACTGATAGTATAAAAAGCTAATCTAGAACATCTTAATAATAATAATGTACAATAATATGAATCCGCTAAACGTGCGTGGGCCGCTGTCCAGGCCCCGTAGTCGGCAGACCGGGGGGTCGGAGTCCATATATTCCATCAATCACCATCAAGGAATGCACCCGGGAGGGGGATCTGTACGCCCTCGGGTTTCGACGGTACCATTTCCTGGGGGAGACAGATGAAAAGTACCCTGTGTTCGACAGAGCCTCCGGGGGTTTAGGAGGTAGGGGCCGAGGGCATCCAATCGTTAGACTTATGAATATTTTTGCTAGGCGTAGATACATTTTTTTTTGTTGCACCTTTCCTCCTCCGGTCTTAACCGCCCTCGTTCTTTTGCAGGTATCAACATGGACCTCAACGCCTTCGCCGCCCTCAAGAAGCAGAAGGCTAAAGTCCCGGGCCAGAAGGAGCCCAGTAAGCAGAGGCCCCTCGGGGAGTTCTCGAAGAAAGGCAGTGAGCCTTCGGAGGAGGCTGCCAAGAGGAAGGCAGCCGGTAAAGCCTCAATCCCCGAGGGGAAGAGGCCGAAGAAGGGGGACGCTGGGAAGAAGGCTCCCCCAGTGGTGGTCGTGGATGAGCACTCCACTTCCGAGCCCTGTGCCCAAATGGCAACGCCTGCTTCTCATCTGCCCTCGGGTCAGGGGGTGAGGTAAGCTTGCCCCGGGAGGATATACGGTTCTCCCTGCCGAAGGGGGCTGCCATCACACATGGCACCGTAGACCCTCGGGAGTTCCTGGGCGGGGCTACCCCTGCACTGGATAGGAAGGCCCTCGGGAAGCTTGATGACGAAGCTCTCGAGTCAAAAATCCTTCGATCCTCCCTTACTGTAAGTTCTTCTCCTTCGTTTTTCTTTTTGCATAGTGATTTAAATCCCCTATCTGTTGTGTGATTGTAGTCTTACCCTCTTACATTGTTGTTGTTAACAGGCCTGCATAGCCCTCGGCGAGCATGCCAGAAGATTTGACGAGTGGCGTCTCCAGAGGGCGCAACAGGATGAGTCAATGAGGAAACTCATCCATGACAATGTTGAGGCCATGAGGCAAATGGCCCAGTTGGAAGGGGACCTTCAGCAGGCGAGGACTGCAGCGGAGAAGGCAGCCAAGGAGAAAGCTGAGGTGGAGAAGGCTGCTGCTGAGGCCGCAAGGAAAGCTTCTGAGGACGCAGAGGCCGCCAAAGCAGAGGCGACCGCCGGTGCTGTTGCTGCCTTCATGGCCGAGGGGTGGAAGACAGAAGGCCACAAAGATTGGGTGGCCTCGGTCGTGGAGGGATCCGCCGATGGGTGGGTGAAGGGCCCGGGGGCGATGTGGCTAGCCCGAAAGGGCGAAGATTATTATGTCGAGGGGAATCTTCACCCAGACCCTGATTTACAGAAGGCTTGCGCGGCATCTGAAGATCGAGTCGAAGGCCTTCGACCCAGCGGCGTATGGCCTTCCCCCCCTCCAACCAGATATCAGAGTCCCCCTTCCCGAGGGCGTCGAAAGGCCAGAATTGGAGGATTCTGAGCTTTTAAAGGAGGCCGAGGGAGATGAAGCAGAGGCCGGCACAGAGGTCATTTCAAAGCCCATGGAAGAGGCTGCCACCGGGGCTGATAATATTTGATTTGTACTTAGCACATTTTGAACAAGTTTGATGTAACGAATATTTGTATGCTCTCGGCCTCGGCCATTTTGTAATATGCACTTTTAACTCTTCCATTCTTCTGATGAATGAATACCTGCCTTCGGGCTTTTTGTATATGATTCGTTCCCTTTGATTGTTTTTCTTTAAGTGTATGCCCTCGTCTTTTCTGAATGTATGCCTTCGTCCTTTCTGAATGTATGCCTTCGTCCTTTCTGAATGTATGCCTTCGTCTTTCTTTGAATGTGTGTTAGGACTTAAAAATATATTCCTCTAAGTATAGTGCCTCCTGTAGCCCTCGGCTACTAGGCCCATTTAGTTATCTGAACATTTCACCGAGTGCCCAACGTTCAGGACTTAGAAATTTTTCTAAGTGTTGTTCATTTGCTGGCCCCGGCTAATTCCTTCCCTCTGGTTCAGTGTAGCCCTCATGAGATAATCGGGGGCGAGGTGCTTAGGACTTAGAAAAAATTTTCTAAGTGTTTGAATACCGTCTAGCCTTCGGTACGTGGGTACCCTTCACTGCATGGATATATAACCGAGGGCCCAAAAATATTTAGGACTTAGAAAATATTTCTAAGTGTAGTTTCACCAAGCCTTCGACCGTGTGGCCCCTCTGGCTGCATGGAGATTTGACCGAGGGTCAAAAATATTTAGGACTTAGAAAATATTTCTAAGTGTAGTTGTATGAGGTAGGAGCCTTCGGGTGAAATGTGAGAGATTTGTCGTAGGTGTACCCTCGATTGAATGGTGGCTCGTCAGAGGGCAAAGTACTTAGGACTTAGAAAATTTTTCTAAGTATTTCCTGTTGCTGGCCTTCGGGCGGGGACCCTTCGGCTGTATACTGTGCGGGTCTAGGACAGTTTCCTTTGTCTTGCAATGTTGGCCTGCGGCAACAAAAAGCCTTCGGCTGTTGTTATGTCCCCACAGTTTGACTTAGGAAAGTTTGTGATCCAAGTCCAGCATGAAAAGACAGACTCCCTCGGACCTTGTCTGGGTGTGTCCCCTCGGCATCTAGTGAGGTGCCGGAGGTGATTCTTGCTTTGATTTGGCCAACATCTGATAGCTTTGTCATATAGTAGCCTTCAGGAACATTTTGAGTTGCTGTCGGGTGAGCCTGTCATGTTTTGTAGGATTTGAGCCTTCGGTTTAGATATAGCTGGAGGCAATCATGGAGTGGACTTGGCCATTTGTTGATGATGTCTGTTGTGGATGGTATCTTTGGTACTTATGAGCTTCCAGGTATCGAAGGCGTTCCCATGGGGAGCCCTCGGTATGTCCTCGTGAATTTGTTGAAGTGGTGTACTCATTGATTTCTCGCTGAGTCTACTCCCCTTCACCACCCCATTTTTTTTCTTTTTTCTTTTGGTAGTGAAGGGAAGGCTTCAAGAAACTTGGTTTCTTGGTAAGGCTTGGCCTATCGGGAGGTAACAGAATACACCATTAGCTCCCCCCTCGGGTTAACCTTCCAAGTTCCAAGGGGATCGAGGGTCGTTTCCTGGGTACAAGATATGGTGGTCTGTAGCCTGCCTCCCCTTGGGGGATGGCACGGAAAGCGCCTCAGTTTTGAAAGTTGTCCCCTCGGCGCTAGACATAGTCCGTGGCCTACCACACCCTTGGGGTAGTGGTGCGGGGAGCATTTCGATTTGGAAGTCGAATCCTGGGCATTTTAGATGCCTGCCAATCCCTTAAGGAAATGACGCGGAAAGCGTTCCGTTTTTGAAAGTCGAATCCTGGGCATATTTCGTGCCTGTCATACCCTTGGGGTAGTGACGCAGAAAGCGTTTCAGGGAAGGGTTTTCATTTGCACACTGGTTGCAAATGGCCGGGGGCACTACGTGCTACCGGCGCCGATAGGTGGCGCCTTCAGTATAGGCATCCTCGAGGGGTACGACTTTAGAAACAACACTTGGCGTTTGTTCCGATGTACGGCCCCCGACACTTGGTACCGAGGGGTCTTCTGTGGAAATACTTGGTGTTTTTATTTGTCGTAGGTGATTATGTTGTCTGCCCTCGGTACCAAGTACCGAGGGGTCTTCTGTGAAAACACTTGGTGTTTTCTTCCGTTTGTTGAAAGTTGACAGTGATGTATCCCCCCGGCACTGGGTGCCGAGGGATCTTCTGTAGGAACACTTGGTGTTCTTTTTCACGATGTGGATGGCAGTATAGTATACCCTAGACACTTGGTGCCGAAGGTTCTTCCTTGTAGGAGTCGATATGAGGGCTTGGCCGCTCATAAGAGTCTT